GGTTGGGGGCTTAACGTCCATTCTGTGCTCCTTTGGCGCTTTAATGCGGAAGGCGCAATCGGATCGCTTCTTGGAGGAGGGTCGGGCGGAATGAATGTTGAAAGGAGGCCGCGGACCACGGAGACGACACGGTCAAGGGAGGGGGTTCGGAACATCTTGCTCGAGAGAGGGGCATGGAGGTTGACGGACGGGTGACGGGTGACGGGTTCGGCGCGGATGGGGAGAGTGACATTCGGTTGATGGGCAGGGGATATGGGGACGCCCTCCGCATTTGCCCGCGCCTTCCGCGCTTCGCGCCCTCCGCGCCCTCCGCGCCCTCGCGCCCTCCGCGCGCTCCGCGTCCTCCACGCCCTCCGCACCTTCCGCGCCCTCGCCCTCCGCGTCCTCTCCGCGCCCTCCGCGCGCTCCGCGCCCTCCGCACCCTCCGTGCCCTCCGCGCGCTCCGCGCCGTCCGCGCGCTCCGCGCCCTCCACGCCCTCTGGCCCCCGCCCAGGACAGAGTGCGCTGACAGGGTGCATTGCGTCCATTCTGCGGGTGCGTTGCGTCTATTCTGCGGGCGTTTCCTTTGTAAAGTATGTGTTTACAAGGCACGCACGTGCAGCATAGGCTTTAAGTGTCCATCTTACGGGGGGGGGGGGGGGGGGGGGGGGGGGGGGGGGGGGGGGGGGGGGGGGGGGGGGGGGGGGGGGGGGGGGGGGGGGGGGGGGGGGGGGGGGGGGAGTTAAAGTTTGGGGTGTGGGGTTTAGGGTTTAGGGTAGGGTTTCGGGTTCAGGGTTTAGGGTTTATTTTTAGTTTTTTGTTGGGTGGTGAGGTTACCCTAGAAGCCCCATTTAAACCCCCTGGGTCTACTTGGCAACTATAACTGTACTTAGAACCCGCTTAGAAGCCGCTTAAGTGCCGAATATGGTTATAAGTACATTTACAGGTACAGTTATGATTGGTGAATAAGTACCATGAACCTCCAAGTAGGAAGTAAGTGCCAGAGAGGTTGGTACGAACTCGTTCTAGGGGCCCGAGAACCCACAACCCCTAAAGCCTAAACCCTAAACCCTAAACCCCTTATTGAGGGCACTGTAGTAGGGCAAAGACTGTTACTACAAGAGGGAAAAATTCCAGCTCCTGGGGCTGGGTAATCCTGACGGTTCATAAGCCGTAACATGAGTCCTATACACCTAGACCTCATACTATAGCTACCTTAGTAGCTGAGTACACTTTACACTTGTTGGGATACTATAATCCCCTATAGAACTGCAAGTGTACACCTTTTTGGGGGCTTATGAACTCAGCAACTAAGCTACTATAGGTACATGGCTACATGCACTGTTCAACTTACCTTCCCTGAGGGTCCACGTACCTAGATAGCATATACTTGGGCGTGAAAGGGATTCCCAAATAGTAGCTTCAGGGCCCAAGTATTTCGTATATGGGGGGGTTTACAAAAGTAAGAGACCCCTAACATAGACCCCCCAAATAGTAGGATTCGCCTTCTAGTAAGGACCTCAAGAATGCAACCCCTAATTTCGGAAACCCCCATATATGAGGCTTGCAATCCCTCCCTTAAGAACCCCATACCCCTAAACCCTAAACCCTAAACCCCTAAACCACCCTAAACCTTATTTTCGGAAACCCCCATATAGGCAAATGGACCCTCAGGGCTTATCAGAGTCGAAGCTTAAGGGTCCATGTACCTATTTTGTAAATACTTGGGCCTTATTAGGGCCCAAGTATTCAATATATAGGTGCATTGACCCAAATCCTGAACCCAAACCCCCAAGCCCTGAACCCCAAACCCTAAACCCTAAACCCCAATCCCTAAACCCTGAACCCTCAGGGCTTTTCAGACTCGAAACCTGCTCCCGGAGGCTTGGACCACGACCGAAGCTTGCGTGGCCTTCGCGGGTGTGGCAGTTCTGGTCGGCGCAGGATCAGGTTTAGGGTTTAGGGTTTAGGGCTTAGGGCTTAGGGCTTAGGGCTTAGGGCTTAGGGTTTAGGGAGGGTTTAGGGTTTAGGGTTTAGAGTTTAGGGTTCAGGGTTTAGGGTTTAGGGTTTAGGGTTTAGGGTTTAGGGTTTAGGGTTTAGGGTTTAGGGTTCAGGGTTCAGGGTTTAGGGTTTAGGGTTTAGGGTTCAGTTGGGGTGAGCGTTAGGAGCTTAAAGTTTAAACAGCTTGTTTTGTTCCAGGACAAGAGACAGTTTTTGACATGGCAGTTTGTTGTTTGGAGCTCTCCCTCTATCTGGTAGCAGCTCGTCGATGAACTTGGTCACCAGATGGGCAGAGCGAGCTCAATCCTAGACCCCCTGAAATCCCGCATTTCGGGTTTAGGGTTGGGCTGCGCTAATGAACTGGGCCACTAGCTTCAGTAGTCTAGGACCAGGAGCAGGCCCTTATTCCCCTGTTTTTTTCGGGTTGAGGCTCTTCTTATCAATCCCCTTCAAGCCAACCAGGGCGCCCTTGCTATTCCTAGGTTACTAGTACCCCTAAACCCTAAACCCCAAATACCCCTTTTTTATTCCTAGGTTACTAGTATCCCTAAACCCCAAACCCCAAATACCCTTTTTATTCCTAGGCTACTCTTGGGTCTCGTAGTCCTCAGTAATCAGTACGGAATTCGGGAAGCCAATGCCTTGTCAAGGGGCTCAGGGGTCATACTGGGTACATGGACCCTTGGGATCCATGCGCCCTAAACCCTAAACCCTAAACCCTAACCCTAAACCCTAAACCCTAAACCCTAAACCCTAAACCCTAAACCCCTAGGCCTAAACCCTAGATCTGCCATGGCAGGAGCCTACATCCTGCACAAGAGGCAGGCGCCAGAGTTGTCCCAGAAGCTGCTGCAGTGAAAGTCTGACGGCCTCCGCCACTTCTTGGTTAGGGTTTAGGGTTTAGGGTTTAGGGTTTAGGGTTTAGGGTTTAGGGTTTAGGGTTTAGGGTTTAGGGTTTAGGGTTTAGGGTTTAGGGTTTAGGGTTTAGGGTTTAGGGTTTAGGGTTTAGGATTCATCCGGCCTATGATCCTCACGGATTTTGGGGGTTCCTAAACCCTAACCCTACGCCCTACACGTCTACTGAAAATAAATTATGAAGCTCCAAGTAGTCGCTCTATTCACTATTACACTGAGAACCTGTAAGGTTGACCTATACTGGCCTAGGGTTTAGGGTTATGTGGTTAGGGTTTAGGTTTGTTTTGTTGCTAATAGGTTTCAGGTGCAGAGTCTCATTAGAAGGATTTTTTTATAAGGGCTTGCATGGCAGTAGAATGTTGAGTCTTCGATTGTGGTTGTTCCCATGGTAGTAGGACCTGGACAAGAGCCAGGAGGTTGTCTCCGCGCTCCCGTGCACGACAGTGCCTCGGCACTCCCTTGCTGCGATGCGGCGCCGAGCTGCGACGTGTCGCCCTGCGACGCGTCGAAGGGTTCAGCGTTTGTGTTAAGACCTGAAACCCCTAAGCCCTATAAACTTGGAATGTTCCCGCTTAGATCAACAGTCCTTAGTAGGGATTATAGTCCCCCCCCCCCCAGTATAACATCCAAACCCAAAAAACCTTAACCCCAAGCCCCTACCAAAACCATAACCCTGCTTGTATGCGTGAAGAGATGGACCGAGGCGCACCCTGTAGTAACAGAAGGACTCGACATCCCTCAAAAGAACGCGGTCCTGGTACCTGGCATATATTCAGATGTAAATGCATAATGAGGCCCAAATAGAAACCGACGTTACCACCTGATCATCCCATAGAGTGCTCGCGTCCTTTGATGCTTAGGGTTTTGTATCAGATGTCTTCCATCATCAGATCTCGACAGCTGCCGTGGCGAGAACAACCACTGTTCTCAATCCAGTTTGGAGCGGCTGCAGAGTTTGGCATAGGCTGGCTCGGAAAGAACTGGGTTTAGGGTGTAGGGTTTCGGCCAAAACATTAGACATGTTCTGACAGCCTGTGAAGTTTGTTGGGTCAGGCAGTGACCATTCTCGCGCCGCTCATGATCCCACCTCATGTGGACACTTTTGTTGTGCAGATTTAGTCCGACTTTTTCTTGCTGACGCCTTCTTTGGCACAAGTTCTGTGACTTGGTGACGACAGGTTTTGATTTCCACGCCCGACGCAACAAGACAAGAACGCCTCTTGAAGATGCCGAGGGAAGGCGCCATACCCAGAGGACGGGGCCAAACCCCTCAAGGAAGAGACCCACTGCATGCTAAATATTGCTTAATATATTCAAGACATGTCCCAATGACCCTAAACTCTGAACCCGAAACCCTAAACCCTAAGCCCTCTAAAGTGGTTTGGTGAACCTCTGGGTAGTTGTCGGTATGGGGTTGTGCAAGGAGCTCCACCTGCAGAAATGCGGGGAAGGCGACGTGTTAGAAGAATACTTGCCCTCGACATGTTAGGTGTACTGCAGCAGGACCATGCTTTATAACTACATACATGTATATGTATATATTTACATACATACATATATATATATATATGTGTACGTTCATATCCCTTTGCGGCACCAGAAATACACCCAACCTGTCCTGGGCATTTTTGACGCACATCGCCCGAGTACAGGCATCCGAGCACAAAAGCCAGAGCCCCGAGCGGGCTCAGAATTTAGTGTTTAGGGTTTAGGGCCGTTTAGGGTTTAGGGTTTAGGGTTTAGGGTTTAGGATTTAGGGCTCGGTACAGGGCTTCGGAATGTTAGCCTACCCTACACAAAAGGCAGCTTTCGGGTTCCTGGCCTAACATCCTACAAAATCGTTCTAAAGCACAAGCCCCCTAAACCCTAAACCCTAACCCTAAACCCTAAACCCTAAACCCTAAACCCCAAACCCTAGAAGTTTATAATCATGACAGCTCTAAAAGCACAAAGCCTCGTCGAGCCTTCTCAACCCTCAGCCTCCCCTGCAAGCACCCAGATTCAGACCTTGAGGTTTCGGGTTCAGGGTTTAGGGGTTAGGGGTTTAGGGTTAAGGGTTAAGGGTTAAGGGTTTAGGGTTTAAACAGTCTCGGGCCCCCTCGCAGGTTTTATCGGCCAATGCAGGAAGATCTCCTGACCTACGCTTCGCAGGCGCGGGGGTCTCGCCATTGACGGAAGTTGTGGCTTCATACGGTTTTGTTGAGGGTTTAGGGTTTAGGGGATTGGGTTTAGGGCTTGGGGTTTAGGGTTTAGGGTTTAGGGTTTAGGGTTTAGGGTTTAGGGTACGGAGAAAGTTTGAAGCTCAGTGGCTCCAAGCCTGCATGCTACCTCTTTTGGATGGGACAGGGAGGGGTTGGACATGTCCAGAGCAAGTGATGATTCTTAGCGTTTAGGGTTAGGGTTTAGGGGTTAGGGCTTAGGGGGTAGGGATTAGGGGTTAGGGTTTAGGGTTTAGGTCTATTTGTTGATTTATGTTTCATTTTTTAATTATTATCATTACTATTGTTATTATTATTGTTATTTTTATCATTATTATTATATATATATATATGTATACATATATCTGTATATATGTTTTTTGTTTTTTATTTTTTATTGTTTTTTTTTTTGGGGGGGGGGGGGGGGGGGGGGGCTGAATGGAAAGGTTCCGGAAGTAGCAGCTCTTTGTAGTGGGATTGGTTAGCAGAGCAACTGCTCTGACACACCAGTTCACTGTTGTCTTGATCTCTCCGCAGGAAAACCCTAAACCCTAAACCCTAAACCCCTATGCTCCCCATGACGAGTTCTGGATCCAGAAAGGTATTACTCACAGCACAGTATGAAGAACTTGAGTCTACAAGCCGGCAACCCCCCTAAACCCTAAACCCTAAGCCCTAAACCCTAAACCCTAAACCCTAAACCCTAAACCGCATCCTCAGGATGTGATGTATCTGCCGCTGCTCCACCGTCGACTCTGCGACGAGCTAGGCTGCACGCACGAAGACAACCCTAAACCCTAAAGCCTAAACCCTAAACCCTAAGCCCTTTCGTCTCTGTACCAGTAAGTTGGGATGTTCGCCCTTACACTAGCAGTCCTTAATAAGGGTCGCCCTTACACTAGTAGTAAATTGTCCTTAATAGGAATCATAGTACCCCCCCCCCCCCCACTTTTATCAACCTGGACCCTGCACACCCCTATACAGCCGTTGCCGGTTTCAGGTTTCCGGAGCTCAGAAAGCAAAACCCCAAACCCTAAACCCTAAACCTTAAACCCTAAACCCTAAACCCTAAACCCTAAACCCTAAACCCCAGACCCTAAGCAGAGCTCTGTGTTTTCGGGCGCCGGGCAGAGATACCAGGCAGGCCCAGGGAATATTTTGTATTTTCCCCTTATTTGGGTTTAAGAGGATCATGTGTAGGAATATCCCTAAACCCTAAACCCTAAACCCTAAACCCTAAACCCTAAACCCTAAACCCTAAACCCTAAACCCTAAACCCTAAACCCTAAACCCTAAACCCTAAACCCTAAACCCTAAACCCTAAACCCTAAACCCTACCGGCCATCCTAGGATAAGTACAGGTTCGAGGTTCACGGCAGCTTTTGAAGCCCTGAATACACAGCCCCTTGGCCGAAAACCGAAAAAAAGCCTCAGAAGGACGCCCGTGCACCTAATCGGTTCAGGGTTCAGGGTTCAGGGTTCAGGGTTCAGGGTTCAGGGTTCAGGGTTCAGGGTTTAGGGTTTAGGGTTTAGGGTTTAGGGTTTAGTGTTTAGGGTTTAGGGTTTAGGGTTTCGGGTTTAGGGTTTAGGGTGGTAATGCGGGTAATGTACAAATAAAATAGACTCTAAAGCATCAATGTCATCACGAAAATTAGAGAGATAACAATGTACAGAACATAATACTATGCTGTAATGTCGCAAGAGAGGTAATAATATGCGTACTGATAAAGAAATACAATGAAGTGATGACGTACTTCTGTATTAAACATATGATATAATATAAGGGTCAGTAGGATTACTAATTGTATTCCCTTATGGTCTCTACAGGACTATTCTATAAGAACCCCGAAACCCTATTCTAATTCTTAAGGCCCCTGCATGAGAGGAATCCTGTAATTACTACTGTACCTTCACATGGGTTAATGCACACGCCCGGACTCAATGAATAAAGTGATCATATATTTCTGTATAAACCCTAAACCCTAAACCCTAAACCCGTGCCAGAGGCGATGTCACCGGCGCCAGAGTTCTGTCACGCAGTCGGCAGTGCCCCCCCCCCCCTCTTTCGAGGGATTAGGGTTGCATTAGAGTTTAGGGTTTAGGGTTTAGGGTTTAGGGTTTAAGGTTTAGGCACTGTGCTGTGGTGGCAGTTCCTGATCTTTCCTCGCAGAGAGGGCGTCTTCCCCACAGCTCTTAAGCTAGGCGCGCAGGTATAGCTGCGACTCCACCAAAACCGGCCAGGTATGTAAACTACTCCAAGATGAACTTGCACTTGGCCTCTCCAAAGGCCGGACGCGCGAACCCCCCAAAACGGGCAAACGTGCTCGCAGTCGGAGTAGGGTTTAGGGTTTAGGGTTTAGGGTTTAGGGTTCAGGGTTCAGGGTTCAGGGTTCAGGGTTTAGGGTTCAGGGTTTAGGGTTTAGGGTTTAGGGTTTAGGGTTTAGGGTTTAGGGTTTAGGGTTTAGGGTTTAGGGGTCCGGGGCCGGTAATGGAGAACGTGGTGCTTTATACAAGGTGTGATGTTGTAGTCCAGGTGGCAGTATCCCTACCAACAGGCTCGTTCCAGGGGCCTAATTAGTCCTTCACCGGCGGAAGCCACCCACGCGTTGCGTACATGTAGGAATTCTCAGGGGTGGATATATAGTATCCCAGGTTTCGAACCCCGCAAGTTGTCCACCCAATATACTTATACCCTCGCGGACGAGCACACCTTTTGTCCAACGGGTTGCCCTAAACCCTAAACCCTAGACCCTAAACCCTAAATCCTAAACCCCTAAGTGATTCAAGAAGTATGCAAGCTGCGCAGCGATGGGAAAAGCTAACAGCGTTTAGTTGCTCACAGAGAGCACTCGAGCCAAAATGGGGCCCTAAACCCTAAACCCCAAAACCCTAAACCCTAAACCCTAGACCCCAAAACTCTAAGCCCTAAGCCTCAATTAAACCCCCTAAGCCCTAAACCTATACGACCCCCTACGCTGCCAGGCGGCCGAGAGGCGGGGACTGCGACTGCAGGCAGGGCGGAAAAGGCACAAGAAAAGGTTTAACAAAGCAATTTGGGTTTAGGGCTTAGGGTGTAGGGCTTAGGGTTTAGGGTTTAGGGTTGAATCTACCCTGTACTTCCGGGGATTTAATAATTAGGTTGCTAGACCCCTTCAAGTCACTTTATGTAGGTCCCAGATACCCTGAACCCTCTGGACCACCGCATAGTTGAGAATGTGGCCCTAGACCCTAAAACCTTGTAAACCCTGAACCCTAAACGCTAATCCCAATAAACCCTGAACCAGAACTGGTTCGGACCGGTGATCCCTGGTGGCCGGCAGATGCCCCACATCTTGGGGGTTTAGGTTTTAGGGTTTAGGGTTTAGTAGGGTGTAGGATTCAGGGTTTAGGGTTTAGGGTTCAGGGTTCAGGGTTTAGGGTTTGAGTTTAAGGGTTTAAGGTGTCAAGGGTTTAAGGGTTTAAGGCAGTTTAAGGGTTTGGGGTTGAGGGTTGCAGTAGGCTTAGATCATTGCGACAGGCCAGCCTGCAATAATGGCCATCCCCTTGTAATACTAACCCTAAACCCTAAACCTAAATCCTAAACCCTAAACCCTAAACCCTAAACCCTAAACCCTAAACCCTAAACCCTAAACCCTAATCCTTTGTACATACATTGACCAAACAAAAAAGAACTCATTACAGGCCCACGATACTGAGGCCCACTCTCTAGCTAAAATATGCAGCCCCGCTCATGCCGTGAGGGTTTGGGAGGGTTTAGGGTTTAGGGTTTAGGGTTTAGGGTTCAAGGTTCAAGGGTTTAGGGTTTAGGGTTTAGGGTTCAGGGTTTCGGGGGGTCTGGGGTTTCGGGGGGTCTGGGGTTCATGTTACACAACGCTTCCCCCTGAAGCCCTTGCCCCCTCGGCATGAAGTCCTTCATCTCCTTAAACCCTAAACTCTAAACCCTCCTAAACCCAGAACCTTCCTGCACCCTTAACCCGAAAGCCTAAACCCTAAACCCTAAATCCTAAATCCTAAACCCTAAACTTAAACCCTAAACCCTAAACCCTAAACCCTAAACCCTAAACCCTAAACCCTAAACCCTAAACCCTAAACCCTAAACCCTAAACCCTAAACCCTAAACCCTAAACCCTAAACCCTAAACCCTAAACCCTAAACCCTGCCCCACCATATCCTCGACCCCCAACTCCCTCATGCCAGCCTCCCGCAGGGTTGAATTCCGATAAGGATCCGAAAGCTTATGCCCAAATCCTCAATCTATAGATTTGCACAAGGCAATGCTCGCCACCCATACAGAGGCCAACATCTTTGTATCTTGCTTTAGGTTGAGTCGGGTTTTGTTCGTTAGGTTCCTAGACCCTAAACCCTAAACCCCAAACCCCAAACCCTAAACCCTAAACCCCCTAAACCCGCAAAACTCCCTAAACCCTTGACCCTTGTCCAGCTCTGCACCTATCCCTGAACCCTAAGCCCTAGGTTTAGGGTTCAGGGTTTGGGGTTTAGGGTTTAGGGTTTAGGGCTTAGGGCATCCCGACAACCAAGTTCTCCCTTGTCATTTTGCATTCCTGCATGTTCTTGATGTTCTGGTTGGAGACTTGTGCTGCAGATTGAGGGTTTAGGGTTTAGAGCTGCGGTTTTGGGGTTTAGGGTTTAGAGTCCCTAACCCTGCAATTTGACACATTCAGGCGTTCAATGCGCAGTTCTGTTAGACGCATGCAGTGTTTTGGGTCTGGAGGTTTGGGGTAGGGTTGAGGGATGAGGGTTTACAAGGGTTAAACCCCGAAGTCCCGCAAGAACCCTAAAGCCACCAAGCATAAGCACCCCAGGCCATTGCTAAGAATCACCTTCACGCAGCCCCAAACCCCAAACCCCAAACCCCAAACCCCAAACCCCAAACCCCAAACCCCAAACCCCAAACCCTAAACCCTAAACCCTAAACCCTGAGGCTTTGGAGCTTAGGCCTCCAGAGAGAAGGGTTTGAGTGGAGCTCCCCTCGACCGAAGCCTTTTGGCAGAGGGCACCTCAGCCCCCGAAACCCTGAACGGGGTTTAGGGTTTAGGGTTTAGGGGTTAGGGGTTAGGGGTTTAGGGTTTCGGGTTTAGGTTTTAGGGTTTAGGGGTTAGTGTTTTGGGGTCAAGATTTTCCCTGAACAGTTCCTGCCGAATGCCGAAACCCTAAAACTTCCTGGAGCGCTAAGTCCTTGAAGAATGTTGTGCCCTCCCAAAACCCCAAGCCGAAACCCGAAACCCGAAGCCCTATACCCTAAACCCTAAACCCGAAACCCTAAACCCTAAACCCTAAACCCTAAACCCTAAACACTAAACCCTAAACCCTAAACCCTAAACCCTAAACCCTAAACCCTAAACCCTAAACCTTGCCTGCTTGCGGAGGCGGCTCTGTACTTCAAGCTGAACTTGGGTGCTCACCGACAGGGCGTGGTGAGCCGAACCGAAGCCTGGGGAGCTCAGTAGCTGGGATGGGTGGGTTTAGGGTTTAGGGTTTAGGGTTTATAGGGTTTAGGGTGTAGGGCGTAGGGTGTAGGGTGTAAGACATGGGAGGATGGGCTCGGGTTTGGGGTTGTAACATGTCAGGGACGTAGGATGAATAAGAAATGGATTTATTGCTTCATGTAGAGGGGGACTCAAGGACTGTTTGGGTTGTTTGGGGTCAGTTTCTTACTGGTTCTTTGTAGAGAACATGGTCCAGGCCAAGGTGTGCATGTCTGCAGCTCCCATGGACGCCGCGAAATTGCTTCGAAGCGAAGCAATCGACCTGCTGATGCCGGCCGACCCGGGTTTAGGGTTTAGGGTTCAGGGTTTAGGGTTTAGGGTTTAGGGTTTAGGGTTTAGGGGAGCCCCGGCGAGTTGTTCAACAAGGCCGAGGTGAAGCTTCACTCGGCAAGGGCCTTGCTGGCAAGCAGCCGGGCTTCGAAGAAGCCACCAGCAGCGAAGCCTTCGACTATTCCAAGAGCTTCGGTCGGGAAAGCCTATGACCGGAAAGCCTATGAGCGAGACCTCGAGAATATGCAAGACTTAGTTGTAGAGTAGGTAACCTTTAACCTGTTTGGGGTAATACAATCAATCCTAGTATATTCCCAAAGGTTAACCTGTAGTCCCCCTAGGTACTGGGCAAGTAAGAAGAAGGTGCCAAGAAGGCACGCCAAGAAAGAGTGGCTGCAGCCAAGAAGGCAGCCGAGAAGGCTGAGGCTGCAGCCAACAAGGCCCTCAGTGGCATCGTGTACGTGCAGAGGTTATTGCTTTCTTAGTAGGGAACAAGGGAATTCGGTAGCTTCAGAGCAGATTTGGTTTTAGGGGGTGCGGGTGCGTCTGGTGATTCTGGCCAAAGCTTGCGGCTGAAGGTCTTAATGGATTTAAGTACCTTCACAAAAATAGTTACCACGAGGTAGCAGCTGGGGCTTGTGCATCCTAATTCTCTGCTAGCCTTGCATGGATATAGGAACTTTTGGGGTGGCATGTGTTTAGGCTTGATCACATCTTGTTGGTGTCGACAGCCAAGGCCCTGAAGAACTTCAACGACATGCAATACGGGGACATTGCGGATTGCTGGGCGTTTGGCCCAGACGGACACTTGCGGATGTGCACATGTCCTAGATCTCAAAATGGCCCTAAACCCTAACTTGAACCCCAAACCCTGCAGGGGATTGCTGAGCCTCGAATTTTGGACGCCTTTGCTTGATGAGGTGTCCGCTTGGAATACAGGCGGCAACATTCTGTTCTTGGAGCGGTTGGAGCAATCCTGCCTCGATTGCTTCTTCGGGGTCTGCCGTATCTTCCCATGATCTGCATGATCTGCATCTTAGGGGCTGGGTAGTGAACCTTTAGCTTTTTTGGCTATGTATAATCCTTTTGCAAACAAATGGTTAGCCTGTTTTGGGCTAGGGTACTCAGACCCTGAGGCATACACTCGCGTTGCCGCAATTGGCAGCAGGAGCAACCTTTGATCGCTGCATGCTTGCTTTGCTCACGTGTGTCCTTTGCGGGGCGCCGGTGTATGGAAAAGGCGACTGGGGTCGAGGCTGTGCTGGTTTTCAGAAATGTTGATCCCCGAACGTGTTTTTGGTAATACCAAGTTTTGGTCTAAACCCTAAACCCTAAACCCTAAACCCTAAACCCTAAACCCTAAACCCTAAACCCCAAACCCCAAACCCTATGAAAGCTTGGTTTTCTTGGTTGATGTGCGAAGAGGTCCGGGCACACCCGTCTTCAGGGGGAAGCAGAGGCTTGCAAAGCCCCAAGGTCCCAGAAAACGCACACAAAATCCTCGTGTGCCCTGAAACTTAGGGTTTAGGGTTTAGGGTTTAGGGTTTAGGGTTTAGGGTTTAGGGTTTAGGGTTTAGGGTTTAGGAATGAAAAAAAGAGAGAAGTTTAATGAACACACTAGTTGCAAGGAACCTTGCTCCTCATCCCTGTAGCCCATCGATGTATGATAAGCTAAACTTCAGGCCACATGAGGCAAGACGAGGTCCCCTAAACTCTAAAACGTTTAAACCCTAAACCCTAAAACGCGCTAGCTGGGGCGGGTGCACCTCATCGTCATCCTAAATGCACCCGTTAAGATGCTACAGTAAACTCCAGAAAGTTTGAACATGGTTTAAGGATGATGAGAGCTGGGATTTCCTGTTTAATACCTTTCGGGTTATGGGGATAAGGAGGTTCCAACTTTTTAGAGTTTGCTGCACGTACTCCAAAAATATTCGGGCCCATAATTCCTTAACTCCCCGTGAAGCACCTAGTAGTAGAGTAGGTAACCTTTAACCTGTTTGGGGTAGTATAATCCCCTTATGGCCCCCAGGTTACTGGACAACTAATGAGCCCGCCAAGAACTTGTCCTGGAAGCCCTCAGCAGCTCGCCTCGCGCCCCCAAAGCCCTAAACCCCGAAACCCTAAATCCTAAACCCCGAAACCCTAAATCCTAAACCCCAAACCATAAATCCAAAACCCTAAATCCTAAACCCTAAACCCTCCTAAGCCCCAAGCTCTGTGCCAGGGCCGGGCATGCGTTTCCTGAGCATCCCGACTTCACCTCCGGGACACCAGCTCGTGCTCGGCAGGGCTTGAGCTTAGGATTTAGGGCTTAGGGCTTGGGGCTTAGGGCTTGGGGCTTAGGGCTTAGGGCTTAGGGCTGAGGGCTGAGGGCTTAGGGCCTAGGGCCTAGGGCCTAGGGCTTAGGGCTTAGGGCTTAGGGCTTAGGGTTTATATAGGGTTTAGGGTTTGGGGGTCCAGGGCAGCAGGAAATCGTCCGGACCTGACTTTTGCTTGATCGATATTATGTTTTAAGCTATTGAAGTTTTGTTTTAGGCTGTCGGCGTTCCATTTCTATGGCTTGGCCAGAAGCTTAAACTCATACCTAAAGATTCTAGGCTGCTTCTGGTCAACACTCAGGCGTCTGGGTCGAGTGGGATCGTGAATTCCTCATGACGCAGAACCAGGCTCTAACTTGTTAAGTTGAAGTTTGTTTTCTTCGAATCGCCTTGTCAGGTCGTGCTGCCAGCCGTCGGCACTGAGGAATTCTGCGTTTTTGGTTCTTATGCTGTGGCCCCACCAGCCCCACCGGGCTTCATTGCCCGGTGGCATCGTACGCGCAATCAGCACAGAAGACGCTGGGTCCTCGACATTGCGTGATGTAAAGCTTAACTTCTTGCTTTGTATATGTTCTACGGAGACAGTGATATATTCACATATGTTCTTCCGATGCTTTGTATACGGTGGACCCAGCGCAAGTGATAAGCGCCTCTGCGACATCGCGCCTTCGTTTGCTTCAAACAACAAAGACTAATATCTTCATGTTGCCGTTGAGATATGTTTTTTTAAAAATTAAATTAGATATATTTCTGCAAACATGATCTACGGAGACCCGAAACACCAAGCTTGCAGAAGCTTCAGCTTGTGCAGGCTCCTAGGTGTGGGATTCTGGTTTAGAGTGTTATAAGGCAATGAATGTTTATTTTGCAAACATGATCTACATAGACCCGAAACACCAAGCCTCCAGAAGCTTCAGCCTGTGCAGGCTCCTAGGTGTGGGGTTCTGGTTTAGGGTTTTTCTGAGCCGATGAATGTTTATTTTGTTTTGTGTGACTAAATATCAAATCGTAATCAATGCACCACTTTATTTTTTTCAATCACAATACTGTTTTCTCTTCGACGTTTCTATCACTGGACCACCATACTAAATAATTGTACACGCCTCTCGAAGCTGAACCTGTAGCGAAGCTAAGAAGATTGCAAAACGAGAAAGGATGAAGCAGAAGATACTGTCACCTGCACGTACCCCTCTCCAGGCTAGTGGCAGTTGAAATCTATACTTATATATAACTGCTTATGTTGAAAATATGTTTTTTATTGTTTTTTCTTCACTCCAGATCACAATCATTCTTAATAGTTTCATCTGCGGCTGGGCACGTGAGCGTTATGATAACAATTTGAGCCTCACCCATGTACAGTAGACTCTCGGAAGCCTGAATTCTAGTATATGAAGCCATGTGTTTATAGCAATCCTACGTAAGCGCAGCCGAAAGGTGTGTGCTTTCCGAAACCTACTGCTTGGGACCGCTAAATCCGAAAGCCGCGATATCATAGTCGTGGCACGTGAGCGTTCTGATAACAATTTGAGCCTCACCCAAGTACAGTGGACTCTCGGAAGCATGAATTCTGGGACATGAGCCATGTGTTGACAGCAATCGTGTGCAACAGCAGCCGAAAGGTGTGTGCTGTCCGAATTCAGATGCTTCGGATGTCTAAATCATAAACCCGCGACTACACATTCGTGGCACGTGAGCGTGGTAATAAGAATTTGGGCCTCACCGAGGTACAGTAGAATCTCTGAAGCCTGAACTCTGGGACAGGAAGCCATGTGTTGATAGCAATCCTATGCAAGTGCAGCCGAAATGCGGGCTGTCCGAAACCAGATGCTGCAGATTCTTAAATCCAGAACTCGCGACCACACATTCTTGGCACGTGATCGTGGTAAGAACAATTTGAGTCTGACCGATGTACAGTAGAATCTCTAAAGCTTGAATTGTGGGATATGATATGCAAGCGCAGCCGAAAGGTGTGTGCTGTCCGAATTCAAATGCTTCGGATCTCTGACTACAAAACCAGCGACTTCACATTCGTGGCACGTGAGCGTGGAAATAACAATTTAGGCCTGACCGATGTACAGTAGAATCTCTGAAGCTTGAATTCTAGAACTGAAGCCATGTTGATAGCAATCCTACGCAAGCGCAGCCGAAAGACTTGTGCTGTCCGAAACCAGATGCTGCAGATCCGTAAATCCGAAACCCGCGACCTCGCATTCGTAGCATGTGAGCGTGGTCATCACAATTTGGGCCTCACCGGGACATTAAACTCTCTGAAACTTGAATTCGGAGACATGAAGCCATGTGTTGATAGGAATCTTACGCAAACGCAGCCGAAAGATGTATTCTGTTCGAAACTAGATGCTTCGGACATCTAAATCCTAAACCCGCGACCTTAAATGTGAGTCTGTGGCTCCAAGCGAGAATGTCACTCGTGAGCCCTCGGCCGTGGGCGGGGGCCAGCGTGGCAAAGCGCCAGGCTGGGTGGAGCAATGAAAATGAAACAAATCAATCGTGACACTGTAAACAATGATGCGGGTCACAATCGCTTCTCAATAAGCCAGGAGTATGGAGCGGCCGAGCGGCAGTTTGCCACTTGCAAGCTGCCGCGCGTGGTTACTCCTGTGAGAAGCTCAGTCACACATGTATATCACATTAGCTGACTGGTGTGATTGGCTAGACTACGACTTGGAGCGACCGCAGTCTTACGAAACACCGATTGCCAGGCAATAGCCTTCTGATCGTTTAGGAAGATAGTTAAAACAAACAGCGAAAACAATCAAGAGAACACGAGTGGTTCATGACTCACTGGTAAGGTGATGCTGCTGCCGGTGGCACCACGCCACCCACCACCGGTGAAGGCAGACACGCAGCGTTATTGTCAAGGGGATCATTCCATGCTTCTGTACAAATGTTGACTCAGACGATTTCAATTATCTATGGAAACAAAGTTGATGAGCATTGACCCGGGCAACTGGGTTCGCTTTTCCGGGGAGAGGGGGAAGGGGGGGGGGGGCGAAGACGAAATTCGAAGATTGACGTCGTTACAATGTTTCATGACGAAGCACGTGACGTGGCAAAGAGAAGTCCGTTTCCCAGAGAAGTTTTGACATGCTCTGAGAGTCGGAGAGATCTGAAGCTTCGAAATGCTGGTAGAAACTACGGGATCGTTCACGAGCAACGTGACATCAGTTTCAATGGTTCTAAAGATGCTGTCACTTGGGGTTTAGGATTTAGGGTTTAGGGTTTAGGGTTTATGTAGGGTTCCAGAGCCTTGGGGTTTCGGGGGATCAGGGGTTCAGGCGTTTAGGGTTTAGGGCTAGAACCGAGCGGACCCTCTCCAGTGCATATAGGATCTCAGTGTGAACTCCGCAAGAACATGCCAACAAGAACCCCTAAATATCCGAAAACCCTAAACCCTAAACCCTCCGCAAGAACATGCCAACAAGAACCCCTAAATATCCGCAAACCCTAAACCCTAAACCCTAAACCCGGTTAGGGCTGTAGGGAAGGAAGGGGTTGCATGGCAACAGCCCGCGACAAGTTGCGAGTTTCACACAACTGGTTCGGGGTTTTAGGGGTTTCTACCATACGCACAACACCCTCAACTCTAAATCCTAAACCCTAAACTCCCCAACCCTAAACCCTAAACCCTCAACCCTAAACCCTAAACCCTAAACCCTAAACTCCCTAAACCCTAAAATCCCTAAACCCTAAACTCCCTAAACCCTAAGCCCTTGTGGGCTTTAGGGTTCAGAACTCTGTTCGTCCAGGGCCCAGCGTCGTTTGTGTGCTGTAGTAGGCTGGGCATCCGAACACCCGAATGTTTTTCATCTAAGACCCATCTGGGTCCTAAACCCTATTCCCTAAGTCCATAAAGCCTAAAGCCGAAACCCTAACCCCTAGCCCTAAACCCTAAACCCAATCCTCCCCCTCCATCGCAGGAAGATGGGACGTCGAAGGAGGCGACGGTCGTTGCCCCGGATGCAGTCTATAGTAGTAGATGGGGTTCTAGTCTAGTGGTTACGGTTCAGGTTTCAGTGTTCAGCATTCAGGGTCTGGGGTTTAGGGTTTAGGGCAGGTTTTGGGTTGAATCGGAGTTCAGCGACGTAGAGGCTTTAGAATCTCTCACAAGCGCCAGCACTAAACAACAGCCTAAGACCTGCGTCCATAACAAGGCCTAACCCAATTTTTTGACCATCATGCTTCAAACTCCCTAAACCTAAGTAAACCCTAAAACCCTAAACCCTAAACCTAAAACCCTAAACCCTAAACCCCAAACCTAAGTAAACCCTCGACCCCTTGACAGGAGTGTGAACCACCATGTGGAAGGCATCTCTCGGTTCACATGGGGCCGTTTTGCTCCAGCAACTGTCTGGGCTTGGGGCTTGGGGCTGATCAGTATCTGCGGTCATTATGCGATTCTGGGTTTAACGTTTACGGTTTAGGAACTAGGGTTCAGGTGTGGGATGTACGGGCTTTCCCTAAACCTTGAACCCTAAACGAAGCCTTAAACCCTAGCCCTAAACCCTAGCCCTAAACCGTAAACCCTAAGCCCTTGAATGCGGGAAGGGCAAAGAGCCACCGTCCTCAGGCCTGTCGGCTCCAGCGACTGAGCGCAGTTCTTGAATCTTTGGAGCTTAGGTGCCGGATTGCCCATGCCAAGCAAATTAGATAAATGTAAATACAGAAATACATATATGTATGTCTATATCTGTATATATATATATATATTATATGCATATATTTATATGTACATATACACTTTATGACTGGTGCTAGTATCGATCTATCTATCTTTCTATCTGTACATACATTTCTTTCTATCTTTCAAAATCTGCTATACATGTAAAGCTTGAAGTTTTTGGACTGTGACCTTCCGGAGCACAGGATGTCATAAAGTGCTTCACGAAACTTTAGATGAACCCCCTCCCCAAAAAACCATGCGGTTTAGGCTTGCATATGGGTTTAGGTTTTTTTGGGGGTTTTTTGGGGTTTAGGATCAAGCAGTAATCTCAAGGCATGCGCCAAGGGCAGTTCAGACTCGCTTTGCAGGCAGCATGCCGGCCCTAATTTCGAAGCGGATCGGAGAAAACACCGTTTCATCTGTGGTGAAGAGCAGTGCATCGTGGCTTGGCATGGTTTGAATGGTTCGGGCTAGAAGCTCCACCAAGAACAAAGATGTGCGTATGAAAGATGTATATGCACAGGTATTCTATTCCATGCATACATGTATACATATATTATATGTTTATATGTATGTATATCTATATGCATATATATATATGTATGTATGTCTCTCTCATTTGTATGTATATTTCTTCATAAACGTAGAAGGATTTTTTGGTGAGATGTGCGATGTGGGGCATGCTGCGTCCCATGTTCGGGCTCTGGCCCTGTGCGTAGTGAAGCTGAACAGCGCGCAAGACCCCGAAACACTAAAGATCCCTAAAGCCTTTCTAGGGTTTAGGGTTAGGGTTTAGGGTGTTAGGGTGTTAGGGTTTTAGGGTTTAGGGTTTCATAGCGCGGGAGCCGAAATAATCACCAATATTGCTCCTTGTAATCCCCACATGCTTGAATGTAACGGATTACGCGAAAGATTTTCTGATCGCGCAGGATTCTTTAATTGCTTGGAAGCCCTACGCCCCAACCAGCTAAGTGGTCATTGGCAGGCGTCTTGGAACCGACAGCCACCTTTGAGATATCGAGCTCCAAAACACTAAGCCCCGGAGCCGAAATCCCTGTTCACGTGCAATACAAAGCCCCGACCCTACACCCGAAGCAAACGATCCTGACCATACTGCACATCACCCTGACTTCGACTTCAATCCCAACAGAACCCCAATCAAGGCTTCCTATCTGAACCCTAGTTACCCTAGTTACCCTAGTTAACCTAGTTACCCTAGTTACCCTAGTTATCCTAGTTACCCTAGCTACCCTAGTTACCCTAGTTACCCTAAACCCTAAACCCTAAATGCGCCCTCAACTTTCTCAGCCCTGCTCACGAATCATCGCCATGGTCGTCGACAAACGCCGCGCTTCTACAGTCTCCACGAAGTCAGAGGTCCGTTGAGCGTTTAGGGTTTAGGGTTTAGGGTTTAGGGTTTAGGGTTTAGGGTTTAGGGTTTAGGGTGGCTTTTGGTTTCTGTTTCTTGGGGGTTTTTTTGGGAGCCTAGTGGTACCTTTTTCTATTTTTGTTGGGGGGCGGTTCAAGTTTCCCTTCTAAAGTAGCCAGTTCACAAAAAGGGTGTCCTTACGTGTACTGGGCTACCGAGCTTACGGTTGAAATGCTTTCGGGGCTGAGGAGGGTTTACGGGTTTAGGGATTTAGTTCTGTGCAAAGCAATGGTGACAACACTGCTGGGGCCTTCCGAATGGCCGGACGTGTGTGGCTGAAGACGGCACGCTAGGACGACACTGCTCGTGAAACAGACCTTCTCAGGGTAGTCATACGGGCCCCTGGTATGATCCGTTACCTCCTTTAATGTAAAGGGTTCCAAATTATGGGCCCTTGGGTTGTAGAGGGTATAATTAGAAGGGGTATAGAGAAGTGGTCCCTTACCCGAAGAGAAGCAGACCCTAAACCCTAAACCCTAAACCCTGAACCCTGAACCCTCAACCCTAAACCCTAAACCCCAAACCCAAAGTTTAGGACTACGTAGATTATGGATGCTTGGGCTTGGGCTGAAGGGAGGGTCTTAGGGTGGCAAGGGCCTCCCAAGCATGGGTTTAGGGTTTAGGGTTTAGGGTTTAGGGTTTAGGGTTCAGGGTTTAGGGTTTAGGGTTTAGGGCATCAAGCATCTTGCGATGCAACCTTGAGGAGTTAGGTGCCAGCACCCCAACCCAAGCAAGGATCCAGGCCCTTCTAGAGCCGACGCCTCAAGACCCTTCTCCCGGATTCAAAGGTGTCCCAGCGGTACCGGTCAAGGAGCGGCCTGGGACGGTCATGCTGGCAAAGGAAGGGCCGGTCCCCGGTACCGCCTGGGAGAAGGCCGAAGAACCTCGTGGCCCCGACAACGGCGACATCTTTGTCTGCCGAGGCGAAAGAGACGGTGGGTACTTCGTCTGCAGCAGCCGAGGTGGTTTGGAGATGAGTGGTCCGAAACCCCCGCCGATGGCATCGCCTGTGACTCCTCCACTGGCGTTTGCAAGTGCGGCTGTGACGGGCCTTAGGATCCTCAAAAGCCCTTGAGGTTAGACTGTGAAACTCCTTGAGACACTTAAGACCCTAAACCCTTGACGACCTCAAGCTAGATGAAGGGGGCCGGTAGCGGGGGGGGGAGGGGGGTTGGATGGAGGTTTATAGGGTTTAGGGTTTGGGGATTAGGGTTTAAGGTAATTAGGAAGTTTGGGGGTTTAGGAAGTTTAGGACGTCTTGGGGCTTAGGGTCCGGGCTTGCATAGCCGAAGCCCGCGACAAGAAGTAGGCTAAGCCCCTATACTCCCTCAGCCGGAACCTTTGAAGGGTGTAGAGTTTAAGATTCAGGGTTAAGGGCCCTAAACCAACCCTAAACCCTAAACCCTAAACCCTAAACCCTAAACCCTAAACCCTAAACCCTAAACCTTAAACCCTAAACCCTAAATCCTAAACCCTAAACAATGCCAAGCTCCAAATGGCGGCAGTACCCTAACAGGTTTGGTACAACGGAGGCCCAAACTCGGACGACTCCTCGGACAAGGAGATCGGTAGGGAAGCGCTGCAGGGTTTACCTGAGAATCGAATGCTATCCGCCTATCACCCCTTAGTATGCGACTGGGTAGCCCAGGGGTACCCCTTGCCCTTTCATTTTGGGTGTGGGTTCCCTTGTAAAGTAACCAAGCTCAAAAAAGGGTTTAGGGTTTAGGGTTTAGGGTTTAGGGTTTAGGGTTTAGGGTTTAGGGTTTAGGGTTTTGGGTCAGGGTTTAGGGTTTAATATTGTCATGCCTTCTGGCCATGATGAGTTTTCAAAAATAGGGTCCTCCTTGAGACCGCTCAGTAAGGTCGAATCTCCGCAACTCGGGCCCCAAACTTTTCGAAGCCCCATGTGGCATTGAGCCGAAGGCCTTTGCATGCCTGCCCATAACAACCCTTCATGGGATTTGGGTTTAGGGGTTTAGGGCCTTTCTGGGTTTACCTAAACCCCAAACCCTAAACCCTAAACCCTAAACCCTAAACCTTAGGGGTTGAGGGGTTTGGGGGTTTAGTGGTTTAGGTGTTTAGGGTTTAGGGTTATTAGTTATTAGGGTCTAGGGAAAGCAGGAAGGTGCTCTCAAGGACCCTAGAGCCCCTTTACCCTACCTGGCCCATGCCCTCTAAACCCTAAACCCTAAACCCTAAACCCTAAACCCTAAACCCTAAACCCTAAACCCTAAACCCTGAACCCTGAACCCTGAACCCTAAACCCTAAACCCTAAACCCTAAACCAAAGTTGTTGAGGAGCTTTCCGGCGCCAGCGAGGCCCGTACTGTTTGTGGCGGCTTCGGAGTGTCAGGGCTTACTGATGGGTCTAGGAACCCTAAAGCCTAAACCCTTGTGAAAACCTTAAACCCTAAACCCTAAATCCTGAGCCCTAAGCCCTAAGCCCTAAGCCCAAGCCCTAAGCCCTAAACCCTACGCCCCAAACCCTAAACCCTAAACCCTAAACCCTAAACCCTAAACCTAGGGTGTAGGGCAGAATTAGGGTGCCTGCACGCATGCACGCCTGCACATGCCTGCACACATGCACGCCTGAGGAAAGTGACTACGATTGATGGCACGTCGCTGGGCTGCGGCCTTCTAGCAGCTGTGTCGGGAGGATCCTGCTCCCAGCGCCTGCTCGTACTGGGGGTGAGCGAAGCAGGCGAAAAAACGGCGGAAATGTAGCTCGAATGGCTTTGCAATCTTCCTGCATTGGTACAAGCCACGGGTGCAGTGCTTGGCAACTTTCTGGAGAGTGCTGCGCGGTCGACGGATGAATGCCAGGACACAAAAGTTTTGTGCCTTTCCACCTCGTCTGGGTGGCTCAGTGAGGAGGGAGCCTGTGAAGCATCGGTGGGCCAGTGAAATTGTCTGTGGCATTCTGCGACTGGAGGCTCAAATGCAGGCGGCCATCTCGTTTGCGGGCGGCCTGATAGATCTCATTGGGGTCGCAGAGCACGTCCAGAGTTTCAACTTGTTGCTGTCAATTCAAAGTCAGGACGGCTCAGCCCTAACCCCTGAACCCAGGGTTTAGGGTTTGGGGTTTAGGGTTTAGGGTTTTAGGGTTTAGGGTTTAGGGTTTAGAGTTGAATTTGGGAGGCATTGAGGGCCCACATGCAGGGACCATGGAAAGGTGAGCTGCTTTAAGTTCCTGTCGCAAAGCTTAGAAAAACCCTAAACCTTAAACCCTAAACCCTAAACCCTAAACCCTAAACCCTAAACCCTAAACCCTAAACCCTAAACGATCTTGAGAGGCAGAGCCAGAAAGAGCCCCTGAGCATCGAGAGTCGGCTCGGCAGGAGAAGGCTGTGCGCCTGGCGCTCCCGGGTCATTTTGGCTGTTTAGGGTTTAGGGTTTAGGGTGTAGGGTTTAGGGTTTAGGGTTTAGGGTTTAGGGTTTGGGGTCTGGGGTTTGGGGTTTAGGGTTTAGGGTTTATAGGGTTTTCCTAAGTTTTAGGGTTT